TCCAGGGATACCACATAGCTTTAAAAAGAAACGTTTTGCAGAGAGACAGAACAACTGGTAAAGATATATCATGGCTGCTTTGTGCTGTGATGACAGCCTTTGCTATGGGTAATGACTAATTAATATCAATAATAATGCTAAGTTTGGAGAATGCCTCAGCACTGAGTCAGCACTCAGGTAAGGCAATGTTTTATTGCAGCTCATTAAAGGGAAAAAAAAAAGTAATAAAAGGCTTGAGAACCATCACAGATCCTGACTACATAAAGCTAATAAACAGTATGATAAACTATCATTTACATGAATAAGAAAAGGAATGGACATTTCATTTCCTATGCCTTTGCTGCTCCTATTCAGTTGCACTGATGGGGTTATTTGGGGAAGCCCCACAGAGCCTGTTTACAAGAGAACTGCAAAACGAAGACAAGTCATGGTCAAAACTTTGCTGGTCAATTCAGTATATTTACATGGAAGAGCTGGGAAAAACACAAGTATTCTGAAATAGCCTCATGGGATAGTTCAGTTGGAAGTGGTTTTTAGCAGGGAAGGATCTCATGGCTATCTAGATATGTGGTGACCACAGAAAAAGCATCCGGTTTCCAGAGGCTTGATCAAACTTTCTTCATCCAGGCAAAATACCATTGCACAACTCCCTGAGCAAAATGGCAACTGCCAAAGTGTTCTGTGTGCAGGGAACAGTATTGTACAAGTCCGGTCCCTGAGAAATCGGGCGCAAGTGTTGTAGTTTAAGGCCTGGCGATGCGGAAGATTTGGGGATGCAACGGAAAGTTAGCAAGAACCCCTGTCTGTTAGGATAGTAAAACCTCCTGCAATTAGCCAATAGCACCCAGGTGTGACGTAAGCAGATGGGAGTAACACAGTGACCCCAGGCTATAAAATGTTAAGTTTCCCTGCAATAAATCGCCATATTCGTCATCCATCACATTGATGCTGTGAGATATGGACCAAGCGGCTGGGATAGCCGCTGTGCTGGAGCTGGTCAGGGTGCTTATCTTGCTTTAAACCCAACACACAAGCTCTTTGCTTTCCATAAATTTGGAATATGCGCCATGCCAACACCTGACAATACACTGCAGATGCATATACACCATCTGAGAAGCTCCCAGAAATGACCCCATTTTCCCTTTTTCTTTTAATTAACAGAATGGAATTGCTCTGGATTTACAACGAGTGAAAATAAAAGCACAGTTGGAACCACTGTTTTTAAGAAGACCTTGCGATGCCATAACTTTTCACAGTTCAGTTGCTAAATTACACATTATAAAAATAAGTAAGTGCAATTGAGAGACTGTGTTAATCTCAGAAGTTTAAACACTGCTCTGTAATGACTGCTTTATAGTGGCCCATAGCAAAGTGCTTTATGGGGCGTGCAGGAGATTTGTCCGCACGCGTCTGTTAAACACTCCTGGGAATTTTCTCACACAGAGATGAGGCCTGACACAAAACTAAACATGGACAAAACACTGCCTCATTCACATGGCACCAGGAATGCCACCCAGTAAGAAAACACTTTACAACACCTAAGAGAGATAAGAACCACCAGCCAGCATAGGAATAAAATGTTGCTTTTGGAAAAGCAGAATTTCCTAACCTGACAATCCGTGCAGATTCTGGAAGTATGACAAAAGCACAGCTGCCTCCTTGCAAGGAAATGAGAGCTTAGGCATTAATTATAAAGAGATGATAAAGAAGCATGGGTGGTTTGTAGAGTAGTTTACTAAAGCCAAGAGTATTTAGAGTCAAATTAGATTCTTGCACATAAAAATTCCCTGGAACTTAGGATGAGTTCACACATGATTACTTGCTTGGGCAGTCTGCAGCTGACAGACTGCACCCAACTGCCCTTTCTCTCTGGCGAAACAGGATTCATCCAGGTTGATTCAGATCCCAGGTGAAAAGACTTTTCAGTAAATTAAAGCTGATGATAACGAAGTTGCAGACATGGTACTAGAGCTGTATTTTCAGTTTATTTTTTTAATAATCATGCTTCAGAATAGTGCCACAGCTAAGCAAGATCAGCCAGTCAGGGGTTCTCAAGACACAAAACTTGATACCACACTAGACAAATATAAGCACACCCAGCAAGGCACTGCATGAAGATCTTTGTGCAAAAGCATCATCTCCCTCAGCCCTAAAACACTCACAAACACTGAACTGAATTCTCAATCCTTCAGTGTTACCATTATTAGAGTATCATTCACCCACTTGTCTGCAAACTGCCTTCTTCTCCCACCAACTGCTCCATCTCACAACAATACCTCATTTCTGGCTCAGAAGACCAACAAAAAGCTCTCTCCTGAGCTTTGGCAGTGTCCCCATGATCACTTGGCAGGAGGCAGCATGACAATGATTTGACAGGCATCCCCCCAAGGAGACTCCACACATCAGTCACACTGCTGACATGCTCCACACTCGGAGGAGCTCATCCACACCAGGGGAGGTTTCTAGGTGCAGGCAGCTGCTCTTAAGTGACCATCCTAAAGCAGCAGGTTTTCCTGTTTCACTAACAGCAGAACCACGAAGCACCTACTTCCTGTGATGGTGCTGGTGATACTGCCATGCTGGTTTGTGCCAAGTCTGCTTGAGTAAAGCAAAGCAGCAGGTAACGAGTGGAGAGGACTGAAGTCCTACTTCTAGTCCAAGGACAAATCTACTAAAAGGAAACAGCACTGCAAAAACAATTACAAGTTATCTTTTTATAATGATCTTTTTATGATGTGCAAAAAAGTCTTTCCAACAAAATAGAATTAATTTCTCCTCTGATTTTGTTGTTTTAAAGGAAATTAAAGAACTGCAATATTTTCAGAGGATGAGCTATTGTTGGATACCACCAAAAATAGCCAACACTTACTGTGCAGAAAAACACAAATTATCCTGATCTGACTACTCTGACTGAATGACTGAACACTGACCCTCATCAACTGTTGTTTAAAGGATGGTCAAGATCAATAGCTTAAATGAAGGAAGAAACACAAATCTTCTTTTCGTACAAGAGAAAAGCAGGGATTTGCAAATCTCCATGAAACAATCTAAAATCTCCTGAATGACAGTCCCAAGCTCTGACCAGTGACTCATTTCTGAAGCTCGGCACACTGGAATGCTCTGACAGATGCAGGCAATGGGAAATTGCCTTTGATTGGAGCTTCTGCCATCTTTAAAGTATGGACAAGATTCCTGGCAGTTTAACTGCTCCTGAAGATAATAAATCCCTTGTGAGACAGGAAGGCTGAACAATCACATACTTCAACACTATCTCAATCTGTTTAGTTCCAAAAACAACTTCCAGCGCAGGTGATAGCAAGCACATGATAAGCGAAGTTCCAGGAGGAACTCTGTTGAAAAACCAGAATTATGGGAAACAGACTGAACTGCTCATTTTATGGACATAGCTCTATTCCAGCACTCAGGCAGTAAAACTAAAATGAACTCCCTCAAAGTTAAAAAAGCTCAGTAAAACTCAATAGGCAAGGTAATTATTTTGACTCAACAGAGGGAGAGGATGGGTTATTCATCCCTACAGAGAATATCTCACCTTGCTGACATTGAATGGAAAGACATCTTTCAGTTAATCTGGGTTTTTTCCCAAAGCTACATTTTCTGTGCTACAGATTGGTAACGCTGGCCAAGCCTGTACCACTCTGGGCACAATAAAAAACTTAACCACAAGAAATGTAGTAGCACATGCCCCAACAGCCTCTCCCGTGGTGTCACAGCTCCCCCCACAGGAGCAGGCTGCTCGGCCACTTCACATTCCCAGGACTGAAACTCTTCCCAAATCCTACTTATTAATGCAGGTTCCTCAGGATCTCAGCTGTGACATCTGCTGGATCAATACTTGTCCTATGTGTAGGGATAGAATGAGTCAGGATGGTGCCCATGGGATAAAGGCAATTTCTCTCTTTCTACCTTTTTCTGAGGAAAATGGAAGCAAACACCAGTCAGCAACTGAAGGTGTTAGCTCCAACATTAGAGAATAATTCCATGATAGATGAACAGCTGCATGACTGAGAATCTATAATGTGTGCATGATAAAGGTGACATTTGCAACTTCAGCTGCCTTTGTCCTTTCTCCCACCCCCTGGGTAAGGACCCACCTACTCTCATCCAACATAACACAGCTCTGGCACAAAAGCAAAACTGAGAACTCCAGTAGGAACATAAAGGATGTCAAACAGTAGAGCATCAAAATAAGCAGGCAAGTGTCATAGTAACCAACGAAATACAGGGGAATACCTTGTGAATTCAACAGATTTCAGTTTCTGGCATCTTCAGAAAGGGATTTTTTTATTTGGCTGACAGGAAACCACAAAGCACAACTCTCCTATAACTGGAGCAATCAGACAGACACATACGGGGACAATATAGGCAAAAAAACTGGTTGTAAACAGATCCGTATTTCTAAGCATTTCATACTTTTATTCTTCATTATTTGAGGGTTTGGGCTCTATTTTTTTTCCTTATCCTAGCAGTCACAAGATTTTTAGGTCTTGGTACTATAGGGACCCGTTTCCAAATGTTTATTATCTGCACTGGCAATAGTGTTCCACTGAGAGGATAAACAATTCACTTAAAGTTTGATGTTACAGACAAATTACTTCTGTTTCTCATAATTACTCAAATTGGGGAAGCAAGTTTTTTCATGAAACGAATTATGAAATTGCTTGTTTGTTTAGCATTAGTCAAGCATACTCTTATTTTAGAATTATGAAAATTACTCTGTTTTCTTCATTATAGCTAGTCAATCCATAAGATACAAAGCTTGAAGTTAACAAGTACAGCTCTTTGAAGAAAATTAAAAAGCCCCACATCCCCAAAAATAATTTAGTTACTTCATAAAAGGCAATAGCGTAGGATTAACCCATTGCCTGTGGAAGAGCACTCTTGTGAAATTCTTCAACAGAACACATGAAAGTTTGAGGAAAATGACAGAAATTTGCATACCTTTAAGAGCAGAAGAACAGAGAAACACTCTTAAGGTGAGCTGTTCCAACTAAGCACCTTTATTGCAAACATATGTTGGAAGACAACCTTAGTCCTTGACTAAAATACATCTTCATGTTATTTATAGTCACTGAGCTTTTTGCCACCAAGATGGGAAAGGTGCATTGAATGTACCTTCAAATGAGTCCTTCAAATTATATTCTGACAAAATACATCAGACTTAAGTGAATCATCTTCAAGAACAACCTTAGCTGGGTGATTTAATTAGCAATTAAAATTCCAAAGTTGCTAATATGCCTCCAGTAATTGTTTTCTACATTATATCCAAGTACCTCCCTTCATTTAGAGTTTATGCTAAAAAATTGGAACACAACCCTTGGCTTCGCAAAGCACAGGCCAGGGGGATTTAATTTGATAATCCACACTGCTGTAAATGATTTTGTTTACAGAGCCAAACCAAGAAAAACATGGACAAGAGCAATAAGTCACACCCACTCAGAATATTCTTTTTTTTTCTTATCACCCAATGCCAAAAATTTATTGTGTAATTGTACATTCACTTTGTCAGTAGAGGAAGTACTAGAACCACTACATCCTGGTTAAGTATAAGGTTATTTATCCTATGAGGACACAAGTAGTTAAGACAAATGCATTTACTTTAGATAGTATTGGTTATATTGTCAAAGGACACACCAAAAATGACAATACACAGCTGTAACTTGGAATGTGTGAGATGGTTTCCACCAAGCTCTCACTGCCGATGCTCTTACTGAGAGATGCGATATTGTAGTTTAGGTTTATTAGGATTGTGTTCAACCAGCCAGTCAGCAAGCCAAATCTGTGAACAAAAAACCCAAAACCCAAATGATTTCAGCTTTCTGTTGCTTTCAATTACGTGCATAGGAGAATATTAAAAACATTATTTGAAACCTCTGCTCCAGATATTCTTCTACTGTGCTGCAAAATTAAGACCTTTCAGAAAAAAATGAACATGCAAATGACCTGTTTTTTAAAAATATTCTTTTAAATCTTCACTGCTTATATTGCTTTTGAACAATACACAATGACCTTTAGAAGACAACTTGTCCTGGCATTATCTTTGTGAAAGTGTAAGACCATTAGAGCCATACTTCAAATAATTCAGCCAGCTCTGTTTTGGAATGCAGCTGTACAATATGCATGAAATTGCTTAATGAAATATTACTGCTAATAACATTTAGAGATACCTCATCAAGGAATCATTCACTAAGAATGCCTGCTTTCTGCACTGAAATCACCTTACAATACCTAAAACTTAAAACCAAAACATGGTTACTTTTTGAAATTCATCTTGTAAGTTTTCCAGCACGATGTACTTAAATGAGAATGTGGGGGGCAGGAATGCCTTGAATCCTAATTCCATCTGCCAGTCTGGGCCTGGCCTTAGGCAAATTAACCTTTTGCCTCGATTTCTCCACTTGTAAAGCAAAGTTTTTAACACATCCTTATTTACTTCACAAAGCTGTTGACAACTGGTTTCTGGAATGCTGAGAACAACGAATTTCATACCACACTGTGAAGAGCTGACAGAACAGCAGACAAGGAAGGTAAGCAACACTCTGCTTTAACTACCAGATATATAAAGGGTGGTTTGCAAAGGAAGAGCCAAGCAGAGCACTAGGACAGGTAAGAACCCAAGACAGAAAAGGAAAACAAACAAACAAAATATCCCAAAACACAAAACCCCTTAGGAAAACTACTTTGGAAAGAAAGAAATCCTCAAATAATTTGAACCAAATAAATTTATCCTGTATTACTTAAGGAACTGGCTGAGACAACCTCTGTGCTGACAGCAAGTATTTCTGAGTGCACAGACACTTTCTGATGACATCTCCAAAAGGAAAGGAAAGAAAAAAAGGATACTGGAAAAAATAAAACATTCCAATAGTCTCCCTGTAAGCACCTAGCAGATAACAAAACTGAAAAGCAATAGGCAATATCTATTTCTGAAGCAGTATCAAATCAACATTATTTTCCTTCTGTTACAAGGTCACAGAGACTATGGACAATAAAGAAGGTGCAACAGAATGTTTTTAGCAAAGCTACTGATGCCGCTTCATACAGCTTTTTTACAAGAAAGGAAGGAAAGCATTGTCTCAATGAAGTTACTGTTAGATTCCTCATAATTGACTAGAAAACTGTGCTAAGAATGCAGATTAAGTGGAAGCCAAAACAATGAGTTAGAAAGATGGGACTTGCAACAAAAAAAAAAATAAATCAGTATTTAATAAAGAGAAGACTGAAGGGAAATACTCTTCAAATATGCAATACGTTGCTGAAAAAAAAAAAAAGAGTGATATATTACATTGTCTCCAATGTCTTCTGAGGATTGTAGAAGGGGAAAAGAAAGGTAATGGGCTTAAAATTGGAGCCAGGAGATTTAGGCTATCTTTTAGTGAAAGCTTTTAACAAGTATAATTAAGCAGTGAAACAGATTGCCTGGGGAGACTGTAGATTCTCCATCATTTAGAGTGCTAAACCACAGGCCAGACACACATTTGTTAGGAATAGATACAACTGGTTTGGCTTTTGGGCAAAGGAATGGACTTCATCTCTGTTTTCTAGATTTCTATGGTAATAGTGCCATACATACAGATAAAGTAAACAGGTTATACAGCTGGAACAATCAAAGTACATTAAATGTGGCCTCATGTATATCACATAGTTCACAGGAACACCACAAGTGATTTTTAAGGGTTTTTTTTTCTGAAAAATATCCTTTAGAAGAATGCAATGTTGATTATAAATGTGATAATGATGTAAAATCCACCACAACTGCTGGAAAATTGTCACACAAATTAATTATCTGCATGCTTAAATAAGTACTGAAACTTTAAGAACACAAAGATACATTTACCATGTTTTTCCAGATGTAAGAAAACTGATTTTGTTTAAGGACTTAAAACACACCCTTGTTTCATCTCTAACAAACAAATCAACTTCTTGAAACATTAGCTGACAGCTAAAACAGTACAGCTCTTCACCAACAGCATCGTTCTCCTATAAACATGGACTTTACTAACGGCAAGTAACTGCATCCCAAAGCTGCCAGCAGCACTGGGACACTGCACATACCATGGGGTCTGCTGGCTTCTCTTTGCACAGGGCAGTGAGTCCTGCCAGCAGCGTGGGCTTCACATACAGGTTCAGGTAATCCCGAGCTCTTTGTCCAGTGGGAACTGGCTCCAAGATTGCTGCAGGGAGGAACCAAAGGTGTTAGAAAGCAGCCTCTAGAGTGATTAAACCCAGCCTTCTTTCAAAGGCTGTTTATATGTGAGCTGCTGTTTTCCTTAGTAAGTTAATGATACACCATGGTTTTATAGCTTCTCCCATAAAGGCAAAGAAACTCTCTAAACTTCTTTACAATGTTCCCAAGCTAATTTTACTAATTATAGTCTATTATGAAAGGGGAGGAAATCAGATCATCTGGGGAAAACCTCAATCCTTGAAGAAGCATTTGTGGTAGAAGAGAAACAAGTGTATCCCATGTTTAGCACTTTCTTCTTCCAGTGTGAAGCTGGTTTCTGAAGATGCTAAAATCTCACCTTTAGTCTTGCTGTTTGTCAGGGTGGGGAGAAGAGACATGGTTTACACAATAGGTAAGGTCTGTAAGGAACTGCAACATCTTTTATTAAACTCATTGATACAGCTGACAAAAAGTATCACTAGACACCACTGTCTAGCAGTTTCACTTGCACCTTTCTGTCAAAGAGCAAAATACTGTTACATTACAAAACAGACATCCTCTTGCAAACTTCCCAGGTTCTAAGGCCCCTTTCTCTGGCACTTAACTTTGGAATTACACTATCATGTGAGCATCCAGCTGCTTTTGAATAGTAATTACTCAGCCTGAATCCAAGAAAAGAGTCAGTCTTCTCAAGTCAACAGGAGTCTTCAAGGCTGACAGTGCCAGAAACACTTGCTGGAGTGTAATAGCTTCCTATTTCTTCTCATTTACCGGCTTTGACTGCTCCAGTTCCCAGAGCAGAGTTTGAAAAGTGGAAGCAATCTCTATAACTACACTGGCTCTTCAGATAGATTTTTGGTAAGCCTTTCATAGCAGAAAATATCAGCTTATACATAAAGAGACCCACAATCCTGTAAAGCAAACAAACCTCATAAATCAATTGTATCTGGAATCAGAGCAGGACAGGGAAGAACTTCATCCTCCCCAGGACTGGCAATGAACCAACTGTACCATTTTACCTTCTGGAAATATGAATCGAATTTCTTTCTCTGCTGAGGAGATGTTGAGACTGCCGTGGAGTCCATTCCTCAGCTCATCAGTCCCATAGAGTGCTCTTAAGCTGAAAACAAGGGAAATAACTATTTGAAGGGCAACTGCGAATCCCTTCCAAGTCTCTGCAGCCTGAGAGCACAGAAAAGCAATAGATATGGACAAATTAACAAGACATTGGCTTTTGTTTTAAACACATGAAGTAGCTACATAAAACTTAATGTTCATACACTCAGCATTCCCCTTAAAATAGGTGAACTTTGCATACTAAAAAACAACAGTGAAAAGCTGTTGCACAAAACTGAAGAGATAAGAAGTCTATGTCTGTACAAAAAAATCACAAAACTGGTCTCAATCAAAAGAATGATAAAATCCTACTGACTTGCCCAGGGCCAGTCAGTGAGTTACCTGTGAGGGTGAGTTATCCTAGCTCTTAGGCTGTTGGTTGGTCCAAGCAATTCCTTCCAGTATGAGACTGCACAATTTCTAGCAAGTACCATAGCAACTATAGGACCAGAACTCATATAGGCTGTTAAATTAGGAAAAAACACTTTTCCAAATTGTTCTGCGTAGAAGTTGCTACATTGCTCAGGGCTTAATTGGAGCTTCCGTTTCTATAATGTGTAAAGACAAAAAAAAGAATTAAAATTGTTGCTATATTGAAACAGCTTAGAGCATTAAAAGGCAGGATAGAGTCCTCTACTAAAGTCATATCCTCAAGTGCAGAACACAGAGTAACTTCTGAAACTCTTCTGATTCACCAGATATGATCCTCCTTGAGATACAGAGTAACAAACAGCAAAAGTTTTCCAAGTTAATTAGGGAAACAGCCCATTTGAGCAAGATGTGATTTTAGCCCAGGCAAACTACATCATTTTCTAACTGCCAGGTGACAAAGCACTATACAGAAAAAGTGAAGAGCATTATAGGGGCAGGGTTTTATTACTCAGCTGCTACATCATAATGTTCTACTTTTAAACAAGTTTCTCTCCAGCCCACACTGTTAATTATGCAATTGTTCTATTTTTCATTCAGGGCTTTTTGAGTCTCCCAATAGCTGCCTAGCCTGCAGGTGGCCAGGATCAGGACAACTTTGGGAAGTTATCAGTAACCATAGGGCAGTCAAGAAAAAGTTTCTGAAGTGCATTCTTCGAGCTCAAACTTATACAACACAAGAGTTCTATATACTCAAGAGTCCTAATAATTTCAGTGCCAAAAGTCACTGCAGATATCAGAAAACTCTACTAATATATTACAATTAAATAAATAAATAATATATTTTGTCTCATCTACTGATACCTATTGAATCAATAGAAACATGGAATGGTTTTGGTTGAAAGGTGTCTTAAAAATCATCTTGTTTCAAACACTCTACCAGAAACTGGGACACTTTCCACTGGACTAGGTTGCTCAAACCCCAAACCTGGCCTTGAACGCTTTCAGGGATGGGGAGACTACAGCTTCTCTGGGCAACCTGTGCCACGGCCTCACCCTCATGGTGAAGATTTTTTTCCCAATATCCCATCTAACCCTGCCCTCTGGCAGTAGGAAGCCATTCTCCCTTGTCCTCCAAGTCCTTTTCCGAAGTCCCTCTCTAGTTCTCTGGAGCCCCTTTGGGCACTGTAAGGGGCTCTCAGGTCTCCCTGGTGCCTTTTGCTCTATCACATGAACACCCCCAGCTCTCCCAGCCTCCCTTCAGAGCAGAGGGGCTCCAGCCCATGGAGCAGCTTCGTGACCTCTTCTGGAGTAGCTCCAAGAGATCCATAAATAAATAAACAAACACAAATAATAAATACAAATAAATAAAACAACCAGAAAGGCTAAGGAGGAAGTGAAAAAACCAAGATATTACGGGGAGCAGGGGGAGGGGCCCCTGCCGCCCACAGGCGCGAGGGCGCAGCGCCCCCCAGCGGCCAACCAGCCGGTTACATTTAAATATTCATAAGCTTATTTCAATATTTATAAAGTCTATTTACTGTAGAAACAATGGGAAAATAAAATTAGGCTGCAACTGGCCAGCTATCGAATTCAATTAATTCTCTATTATCCACCTGCACACTGCACAAAATCTTGTGAGATCTGAATGACACACTCTCCAAAGAGTTGCCTTGGAAAGTTCACACATCTGCTCCATACATTTGCTAAATCTGAGTTTATTAACGAAGTGTTTTCCTGTGGACACAAAAATAGTTGATCTGCTCTGTTCCACCCCATGCATCAAAAAGCATCTCTTTACAGAATCTGACAGAAATGTTTGATGACATGAAGAACATGATTTTTGGACACACAAGTTTTTAGTTACTGGCTTGACTGCTAGAAGTTAAATATTTTCCTGACTTATTAACTACAGCTATTTTCTCTGGAACACAGTCTGTTACCTGAATGATATGGAATCCTGATCGGAGAATGAGATCCTCTATTTCTTCTTCTTTATCAATGATGTCTGGTTTGATGATAGCCAGAGTTCTTTCCACATAAATCTGAGGTTCAGGCATTAAGACCTCCATTTTGGCTTCTAAATTAGAATTCACTTGCACTTTTTATACTGCAATGACATCAGTATGTGACATTTGGAGTTTGTCTACTGCACAGTCACCTGCTGTGACACTCACCATGTACTCCAGGGACAGAGAGGACCACACCCACCTCACAAAATCCATGTGAGATGCTCTCTGCACTTGGTAGCACCCTGTAGTTCACATTCCCATTTTCAGTGCAGTGGCATTTTGTGGAAAATAAGGCCAAAATTTAATGTTGTTATTCACTGAGTTGGACAATGTATGAGGAAAGACAGGCATTATCACACACCTTGATGTGGGCTTCCTGTGCTCCCACACCCTCCATCCACCACGGGCTCCTTCAAACACCAAATCTGTATCCTCACACATGAGGACTGTGGTGTGGGACTAATGATGTGGAGCTGGTCCACCGTAAGCCTCAACGGTTATTTAATTCCAGTATTTATGGGCTCCAGACAAAGTGCTGGTTTTCTGACTGAGCAGATGTACTGGCAAGCTGAGAGCGTGTGTTGTGAGTTGTGAAACCAGTGAGGAGGTTTCCTACGGACCTGTGTCCATTTGTAACCTTCTTTTCATCACAGAATGATTTGCGTTGGGAGGGACCCTAAAGACCATCCAGTTCCACCCTGCTATGGGCAGGGACACCTTCCACTATCCCAGGTTGCTCCAAGCCCTGTCCAACCTGGCCTGGCCTTGAACACTCACAGGGATGCAGCAGCTACAGCCTCACTGGACAACCTGTGCCAAGGCCTCACCATCCTCAAAACCAAGAATGACTTCCCAGTATCCCATCTAATCCTGCCCTCTGTCAGTGGGAAGCCATTCCCCTGTCCTTGTCCCAAGTCCCCCTCCAGCTCTTTTGGAGCCCCTTTAGGCACTAGGAAGGGGGTCGAAGGTCTCCATGGAACCTTCTCTTTTCCAGGCTGAACACCCTCAGCTCTCTCAACCTTTTAGAGAGAATTGCGAGCCCAGGATGCTCCGCTGGGTTCCTGACAGAGCCTCAGAGAGCTGCACACAATGGCGCCTGTAGCCCTCCCCTCGCCCACCGCCCGCCGTGTCCCCAGGCTCCCAGCCCTGGCTCTCTCCATCTGCTCTGGACCAAACGCAGACACGCACAGCCGGCGTAGCTGCAAAAACCTGCTCCCTGCTGCAAGGTCCGCTCGTAACCCCCCAAATCCACCTGCCTTGGGGCCCGGCCAGGCTTTGCTATCCCGGCCTCCGGGACTCCGCCGGACCCGCCGCGGTTGCCGCGCGATGGCGGGGCCAGCCCCGGGCACAAGATGGCGCCCGCGGGCCTCGGCGGGGCGGGTTAAAGATGGCGGCCGCGAGCGGCGCCGTGATGGCGGCGGAGGCGGAGGGCGCCTCACGGACCGGCAGCGCCGTGGGCTCCGCGCACTCAAGGGGCGACCGTGGCTGCCCTGGGATGGGCTCTGCGTGTGGTGCGGGAGCAAAGGGGGGAGTGACGTGATCTCCGGGGCTTATTCAAAAATCTCATTTCTCCCACCCAATAAAAGCTTTGTGTCGGTTTCACCTCACGCTCAGAACTGCTGAGGGAGCCATGCGCTCACAGCAAAAGCTCATGAAGCGACGTAGCGCGATTTACTGGCGGGATGAAAAAAAAAAAAATAAAGGAAAAGACAGCAGCCCTTCCAGGTCATTTATAAGTGTTTGCGGGGAGGTTTCCTGGGGACGCGCCTGAGCAGCGGCGGCGGCGCGGCAGCTCCCGGCACACCCACAGCACTGACCCGAACCACAGCTCTCTAATGGTGGTTCTCAGCACTGCGAGAGAATCACAGCGGCTACCCGGTGCCATTTCACGTTTATGACAAAAATATGTGGAGACAATGATGCAGATGCGGCGATGAAGCAAAACCTTCACCATTTTGTGCATTAAACCATGATGACCTGGGCATGAAGCAGAGCTGGGGAGCCGCATTCTCTGGCGATTTTCCCCAAATTTTACCCCCGTGGTGACAGTGCGTTTGCTCCCTGCACATCCCTTACTTCCCCGGCTCTCTGGGGGCAGTCAGCTTGTAGGAATTGGCTGCCCAGTATCCACTGTCCATCCAAAATGACCCATAGTGGCCTGGGGTGGCCCGGTGTCACCTCCCGTCCTTGTTTACCGGAGCTCCCGGGATGGAGGCGGGCCAGCTGGCCCCGCGCTATCGGGGTGTGGGCTGCTGAACGGCCCCGATAACTCCGCCGCCCTGCTCCTCTCTCACCCTATGCCTCGTACCCTCTCCTCACCGTGTTCTCATAAAACTCTGGGATTTGAAGTGCTGGAAGACCTGGGGCGTGCGGCTGACTTCAGCCAAAACTGGACATGGCACTCAAACCCTTGAGGTGACACTGACAAAGGGGCAGAGCGAAAACACAGGTTTGCAGGCTTTAAATTTTAATGGTATCAGACTGAAAGTAGAGGCAAAGGAGAAAAGACAAAAAAACCCCGAGGATTTGGAGCCAGAGGTGCTGACACTGTGTGCACTGGTTAGGTGAGGAAATAGCAAATTTACAGCAAAAGCTGTAAGAGAAACCCATTTTGCCTTCATCTTTTTCATGAGTAATGTGAATAATATAAATACAGAAACAAGAAATAAAACTATGCACTTATTTCCTTGCAGCCAATTCCCTTGCAACCAAACAACTGACGTTGTTATTCATATACCTTAAAAAGTACAGGTTCCAAGTGCACAAGACAAATTTGGATATAGGCTTTCCTTCACCAACATAGGCACGTGGCATTGTTTCTTTAACAGACATACCTTATCCAATATTTCATTGGAAGACACAGTAAACACTGCAACTTCACAGAGATAATGGATAAACATGTTTTATTTTTTAAGAAATGCTGATAGAAAGAGTTCACCAGTTTTTTAGTTTAGTTCAGAGTTAATTCAGCAAGTAATTTCTTTTCAAAGTCAATGAGCACAAGTCTGACAGCCCTTGCTTAAATTTAGCAGTTCAAAGGCTTCCTCTGCCAGCATGAACACTTCAGAATTATTATTACATAAGAAATGTTGAATTTAATATCCGTGTTTCACTGTTAATGTGAATCTCTTGCAGTTCCTTTATTGTGTGGATTTTTTCCCAGCCACCCGGGACGTAAATCCCAAAGCATCTTCCTGTGCACCCTGAGGCTGCAGTTTGGCTGGGAGCAGGGTCCTGTGCAGCTCCCTGCCCAGCACAGCTCCTCGGGCTGTGTCACAATTTCTCCTGCTCGCTGTTTCCAGAAGCATTTCTGGAGGGCGGAGATGGTCTAATTTTAGTACTGGGAGAATCCTCCTCTCTCCAATGAGCGAGCAGCTGCATCTGGAGCTGCAGCCAATTACCCGGGTTTCCTCCTGCTGCACTTCCCACGATGGTTTAATAATGCAGAAGCACAAATTTAAAGTGGCCCCACATGTTAAGAGAAAATAACATTATGTGCTCCTTAACAAAGCTGTTCTACAGTAGTAGAATCTCAAAGGTTTCCTCTAAAGCCTAGGATTCCATAAACCTGACTTTAAAATAATGTGTTAATATCAGTGTGTTTATTTTCTTCATAGTGTTTGAAATAATATTTCTGATAACTAAAAGGCTGGTCTGAAGCATCTTCCCTAACTTCTGTAGGCCAGGGATGTGCTTTTAGGAAAAGAAACAAAAACAAGAACAAAAAAATTAAACTAAAACAAAAGAGAAAAACCAAAGCAAAACAAAAATCCAAACCAAAACAAACAAAAAGGAAAATTATAATTACAATGCAATAAACCATTGTGGTTCTGAACACTTCTCAGGGCATAGCCTGTCTGCTGTATCTTATCTGTTAAGCGGTTTAACAAGCCTTAGGTGTCTCACTTATTTTTAGCTGGCATGGAATATAACACCAAAAGATTGTGGCTGCAGGTGCATTTACATCCTAGCAACACCAGATAAGTAACATTTTAAGGAAAAATATTATTTCAGAGCTTTGTCCTCTGATAGTGCAAGAAAGTGCAAAAACTAATGTCTTGTAGACTGTTAAAAAGGAAGTAAAGAAAAACAGAATGATGAAAATAAACAAAGAAAAGCAAAAGAAATAATACCAACTAGTAAAATTGATTAAAAAGGAAGCTTGCACATCTTTTTTAGCTTTGTTTGCATTTTGATGGTTAAGTAGAGAAAAATGTGTTTGCTACAGTGGCAATGTTCTAACTACACACTAACCAAATATACAACTTTCATCCACCATAAGCTCTCTTTCCTTTACTTCTTTTCATGAACTTTCTTACCTACCCACAGCACCAGCTTACCTTTCCTGCTTGCTCCACCCATGCTTGCTCTTGCAGGGCAGAGTATGTGACGGAAATCCACTGATCAAGGCAACTTCCTCTCCCACACGCCTGCTCTCTCCTCCATTTCTGCCTTCTCACAACTACACAATTCTCCTTCTGCAGCTCATCTGCACGCTTGTAATCCCAGTGAGCTTTTCATTGCTGGTGCTTAACCCTTGTCAAGCCTTCCTGTCTGTTTTCCTCTACTTGTTATCTCACCATTTTCTGTAAAGATAAAAGTGATAAAATATTCTCTTCATGCTTCCTCTGTCTACAAGTCTCTAAGTGGCAATAACAAAAAGCTTATCAACATGTCTTCTGTAACTCCATCACTTGCCCTGATAACTTCACCCCATTTCATTTCCTGATCTTCCCCAACCCTCACTCCTTCATTTGTTCACAGCTTTAGTCATTCAGTCTGCTCTGATTCCTAGCACCCACAGAGATAGGCTTGTCTCTTTTACCATTGGAAAAAAAAAAAGAAAAAAAAAAGATTTTGGTGGAAGTGCCTCTAGTCACCTCACAGGTTCCTCCAGTCACGTATATTCATCTCTTGCTAGGTTCTACCCTAAATCCCCTTCAAACTTGGTTTTGCTTCCTCTCATCATCTGAAAGCTTCTCAGTCCATCTTAAATCAATCTCTTGTTTGCCCTTCAGTCACATTTAGCATATCTAGCTCATGTCTTAGCTTAGTTTTTGCAGTTATTCTCACTTTTCACTTCTCCAGTCACTGCTTCAGCTTGGTTAGTCCCTTCTTCCCTTGTGCCTGTTTCCTTTTTCTGCAGGAACACTGATGAGCACTGTCCTTGACTCTCCTCCCTTCCCACCTCAACACCCCAATGTACCTTTTGTTTCACCCTGTAAAGACATCCCCTGTTTCCTGTCAGCCCTACAACTGAATTCCACTATTGCCCTTTCAAATAAACACCTTCCTGCTTTATCCCACTGTTGCTCAGGATGAGCACCTTTTGAACACCTGTAGAGGTTGGGGCTGACAACTTCTTATAAAGGTGTCCTCATCTATATACAGACATTCTATATAAATACTGCATATTGCTCTCAAGCTATCACCTAAACTTTAGAGAAGAAACACTTGCATGTGTTTGCTGCTTGATTGTTCTACACAATGTTTAACCTATTACTGGCTTGGATTATCCCTGAGGCCACCAAGCTCAGAGATAAGTAGTCACTGTGATCACAATGAAGTCACAATGAAGAAATGAATGTATGAATAAACCAATAAAAATCTTTTATCTACAAAACTAAAAGAGGTAGTTGGTTAAATAAGGCTTTTTTTAAGAAATATTAGCAATGCCTACTTAAAGACATCTTCTATTCATCTTAATTCCATGTAGCATAAGGAATCCTTTTTGCTATACTTATTTTGAGTCATTACATTCAGTCTCATCATGAAAATCTATGGGATTACTTGCATAGTTATTATTAATAAAATGTATTTATGTATGCTGTACATAGACTAGCTTGGACAGAAGCTTCCTATAGTGTGGTGTCCAGTGCAGAGCAGGCAGTCTGACCTGAGATGTTTACAATCATCTTAGACAAGACAGGCATAGGATGTGGGAAAAAGAAAAATTACACCAAGTTTCAAGGCAGTGGATGATATGTTGTTTCTCTCTTTTTTTTTTCTTTTTTAGAAAAGAAGCTAGAAAAATCAACAGAAGTGAAATAATGAGGAAAAGGAGAGGATGACCTATCCAGAAAAGGAAAAAGGAGGTAATGAAGAGAGGTATGGCACAAAACTCATATGGACAGACACCAAGGGGTAGGGCTTGGCATAAACTGCAAGTTTGATAGAATAGCAGAATTAGACCCAAGATCAGAAAGCCCATAAGAAAGTAAAATTCAGTGGAATTTCGGTCAGCACCATGAGTAAACATAGCAATTACAGATTAAAGAATGGCAACAAATGATAGGTTTTCTTTTTCTCAGCAGTAAATGTGTCATATAAGGAGAAT